AGAGAACATTGTGACGCTCATGAATAACCCTCTTTTATTGCTTACCCCTTTAGACATATCTGCACCTGCTCGACATGGGATCCTATGACACGACCAAATACTCCAGGGTTGAAGATCTCGGAGATGAAGATGCCGAGCCAAAAGCTCGACCTACAATGAACGCTGCGGCAAAGAGATTGGGAAAATGGGCCAGCGATCGTCGTTAGACACTGTCATTTTGAATACTGCATTTTGAACTTGGCCGCTAGGATTTTGTAGTACATCAAGCATTAGAAAATGTATATTGATGATAACGGTGATAATTTAAGGGTCTCGTTCTGTTAGAATAAACTAAAGCTGTGTCCTTAATGACAAACTTTTGAGTCAGTTTTTAGTAAGTTGCAATTGATAAAGAACTCAATTTAGATCCAGCTGATTGAGGCTGGAGTTAAAAAAAGGAATAAGAAATTAGAAAACAGCTCTTTTATTTAATTTTCTGTATTAAACAAACTATTTACTCCTGTTATATCTGAAACAATACGAAGATTTGTCAGCAATGATTCTGAGGAAGTATTCCCTGTTGGCGATAAAGACTTGTCAAGATATTTAGTAGTTTAGTATGGATTTAGTCATGGAGCATAAACTACAACTAATGTATTTACCTTTCATTTAAGTGTCATTTATCGACAAGATCATTGATTCGGTGACATATCTTGTAATGTAGTATTGCATGAGTCGTAAAAATTGTTTAAATTTGATATCGGAAAACAATGAAGTGCATTGTTATTGACATATTTACCACAACCGTTTTGCTGTTATTGTTGAAAAGCTTTTTCATAAACGGAGAGAACCGTCTCAATGGAGTGGTACTTAAATTAATTCTTTTCCTATTGTTTTCGACTCGTACAAGAAACAAAAAACGCTATTCAGAGGGGTTGTTGCTGATAGGAACACCTTTGTTATGATTTAATGTACTGCTCATTTGAAAATGGCCGGAAATTCTGTTAGAGCAAGGATGAGCGTTTTTTTCTGTACATTGGAAACACACTAAGTTTTTTTTTTAAATAATGTAAAGCAATCTATATAATATCTACAATAAAAGAGGCATATCCCATGGCATTTTTCACACTGTTGTATTACTATTAAGCCACTCCAGATATCCTTGCCGCGCGTTCCTCACAGATGACGTTCCGAGGTCAAACAGTGACCCGACCTGGGTTGTTTTCGGTGAAAGTTGAGCGGACATTTTGAACTTCTTAAATGATA